TGTTTTTCGTTGACAACATTCTCGGGGAACATGTTTTGTTATTAATTCATTGGATTTAAGCTAATTTAATGTTTTAGTGAATTGCTTATCAATTACAAAGTTTAAATGAACATCTTTGAGAATTTGCCCTTTTTTAGCTCTTTTATGTTAGCCCTAAATGTGATACACTTTTTCATAAAATAAAAGATTTGATATTCAGATTTTTCCCGAAAAAGTGGTCACTGCTGTCAAACCCGAGGCCGTCTGGCCAAATGAAATATACCACAAAACTTCTTAGAGAGTGTACTTTGATTTTATGACAATAATTCCGCACTCTTGCACTGGCCAGATTTGAACATCACCCTTTGGCCCTATTAACTATAACTTTTAATAATTACTTTAAAAACATAAATCAAAAACCTTCGAAGACTTAAAATACCTGTAATTTAAACCCAAAATTGAGCATTTATTACATGATTAAATTGACTGCTATTCTATTAATTAGCAACAAATTCATGTGTCTTTAAAACATTTCATTTAAAGTTTAGTTTGTATTCAAAATATGACAGCATTTCGAAAATACAGACATTTAAACACATTTTAATGAAGTGTCAAAATTGTTGTTTGAAAGACAGCTGTCGGCACCGTTTGTGTCAAACTATTTCATTGAAACTTCCGAAACATTTAACTCTTTTTGTTCTGCATTTCCCATAATTAATGACAATTCTCTGATTTCATCATTTCCTTCAATATTTGCTTTTAGACGCGTTTCGACGATTTGCTCGACATTTTGAGTCAATCGGAAGAAGAGATCGCAGTCGACAATCAATGGCAACAAACACAAGGCGGCGATGTCTCCACTTCGCCGCCCAATCGCCAGAGGAGTGGATCTCTTTTGGTGGCGCGCGAGAGAACGCAATCCATCTCTTTCCAGGCGCTCATCGAAGACGTTGAGCCCATTTATATCGTCAACATTGCCATCAAATCCGACGGATCCGAAGACGCCGTTCTCACCAAACGCTTCCAGCAGTTCTGTATGACTCGAAAGGCGGACCTCGAGAAGCACTCGATCCGAAGAGTGACGTTCATTGTGTGCGACAAATACCGTTTCCCGCGATATTTCACGTACAGATTCCGCAGCGGTTACGTCGAGGACACCATTTATCGCCACTTCGATCCGGCGCTCGCTTTCCATCTGGAGATCAATCGTTTGCGAAACTACGACTTGGAGGCGATTCCGACCGCGAGCCAGAAGATGCACCTCTACCTGGGAAAGGCCAAAGTGATGGCTCCGGGACAACAGGTAACTGACTTCCGGTTCTTCGTGCGCACTATTATCCGTCACTCGGATCTCATCACGAAAGAGGCGTCGTATGAGTTCCTGCAAAACGAAGGTTTGTTTCCACTCTTTGTCCATCTGTTGCTAACTTCGGCGTTTCAGGCGAAAGACTTCTTCTGGAAGCGATGGACGAACTGGAGGTCGCTTTCACGCACTCTTTGGGACCGAAAACCGATTGCAATCACATTTTCCTGAACTTTGTGCCGAAGATTCTGATGGACCCCTCGAAGGTACCACATGTACGTTGTGTGAGACAATCGTGTGTTGTCTCCGGTGGCGGGAAACCCTGTCCTCTGT